GGCCGTCCTTGCGGCGGGATGTGGCTCGTTTTGTGGAGCGTTGTCGCACGTGTCAGGTATCCAAGGCGACGGCATCTAATGCCGGTTTATACAGACCTTTGCCCATTCCGTCGCGCCCGTGGTCTGCTATCAGTATGGACTTTGTCCTGGGGCTGCCTCGTACTCAGCGAGGTAATGATTCTATTTTTGTCGTGGTTGACCGTTTTTCTAAAATGGTCCATTTTATTCCTTGCAAGCGCACTGCCGATGCCCTCCATGTGGCGACTTTATTTTTTCGCGAGGTGTATCGATTGCACGGTCTGCCGTCGTCCATTGTTTCTGACCGTGATACACGGTTTCTTAGCCATTTTTGGCGGAGTTTGTGGCGTCTGGCCAACACTAGGCTGGACTTTAGTAGCGCTTATCATCCTCAGACGGACGGTCAGACTAAGGTGGTGAATCGGTCTCTTGGGAATTTATTGCGTTGCTTGGTTGGTGAGAATCTGAAGAGTTGGGACCTACGCCTTCCCCAGGCCGAGTTCGCGCATAACTCGGCTCGTAGCCGTGCCACGGGTTTTTCTCCATTTGAGGTTGTGTATACCGTGCGTCCGCGGGGGGCTGCGGATTTGCTCGTCTTGCCATCGGCTGTGGCGGCTGAACCAAGAGCCGAGGCGCTAATGGAGGATTTACGGCGGGTTCATGAGGCTGCCCGAGCTCGTTTGGAGACTGTGACCGCTGGGTACAAGAAGCATGCTGATTTGCGCCGCCGCCATGTCGAGTTCGATGTGGGTGACTTCGTTTGGGCGGTTTTGACCAAGGACCGCTTTTCGGCGCATGAGTACAATAAGCTTTCGGCCCGTAAGATCGGCCCTGTTGAGATCCTCGAGAAGATAAATCCCAATGCATACCGTCTTCGTCTCCCGTCGCATATTCGGACTTCTGACGTTTTCAATGTCAAACACTTGGTCCCTTACCTTGGGGAGAACTCCGATGGAGACGAGATCGGCTCGGATTCGAGGGCGAATCCTTCCCAACCGGGGGAGGATGATGGAGACGAGATCGCGATGGCATTCATGGACAAATATGATCGTTTACCATCCTTAGTTTGATTATTATTTTCCTATCTATTTTATTATGGTGATTTATTTCCTTTTCCTATTTAGTAGATGAATAATTTATTTCCTTTGGTATTTTAATTTATTTAGGAAATTAAGGATTTAGGTTTGATAGGTCTCTATATATTGTCTTTTCCTCTTGAAAGAGAGCATACTTTGAAGAATAAAATTTATCGATTGAGTTTTCTCATCTTGTTCCCTTTCGTTTAATTGCTGCGCTACATCAAATACCCAAATGACCATTCTTGATCTCCATAAACCTGTTGAATGGTAATTGATAAGTGAGTAGTTTTAACTTTTAAGCCTTAAAACATCAAAGCTATGTGCCTAAAAAGCACCGAGCATCATTTTACTGCAAATGTCACGAGCAGTGAGTTAAAATGAATTCCCTGCATTGCTGAGTAAACTATAATGTAGAGTTTAGTAGAATCTAACAAATTTAAAGCTGCATAAATGACAAACTTTAAAAAAAAAAAAAAATGTAAACAAAAGCATGACATTTTTTGGTGTAAGTATGAACTTTTGTTCAAAAAGTATAACAGGTCGACCTCCCTAACCGTTAAACTAGTCCACAAAGAACATTTATGTTCCTCTTCATATTTCAACGACAAGCTGATAAATGATAATCACTTCTCTTTCTTTCAACACCCACATGAAAAGCAGCTCAAACAAGACGAAAAACTAACACAAATGATCCAAAAAAA